TAGGGCTACCTTGAATCTATTTATAGAGTGATTATGTGTCCCCACTCAAGTTCACTTTCCAATGTTAGGGAAGTTTCACGCTCAATCTTGCCCTACAGAATTATTTTACTCTCCATTCCTTAGATACTTGTGTTCTGTGTTTTCTCTAGGTTTGTTTATATCCTCCTGAACAACAGTAACATTCCAGGTATAGTCACATTAAAGCTTAAGAATCTACTGCCTCTGGAGCATAACAGACAAGGAGGACTTGTGGCACCTCAGAGACTAACAGATTTATTTGAGCATAAGCTTTTGTGAGCTACAGCTCACTTCATCGGATGCATGCAGTGGAAAATACAGTAGGGGGATTTTATAAACACAGAGAACATGAAACAATAGGTGTTACCATACACACCGTAATGAGAGTCATCAGGTGAGGTGAGCTGTTACCAGCAGGAGAGAAAAAAACCTTTTGTAGGGATAATCAAGGTGGGCCATCTCCAGTAGTTGACAAAAACGTGTGAGGAACAGTAGGGAGGAAATAAACATGGGGAAATAGTTTTACTTTGTGTAATGACCCATCCACTCCCAGTCTTTATTCAAGCCTAATGTAATGGCGTCCAGTTTGCAAATTAATACCAATTCAGCAGTCTTTCCTTGGAGTCTGTTTTTGAAGTTTTTTTGTTGAAGAATTGCCACTTTTAGGTCTGTAATGGAGTGACCAGAGAGATTGAAGTGTTCTCCGACTGGTTTTTGAATGCTATAATTCTTGACGTCTGATTTGTGTCCATTGATTTTTTTACGTAGAAACTGTCCGATTTGGCCAACGTACATGGCAGAGGGGCATTGCTGGCACATGACGGCATATATCACATTGGTGAATGTGCAGGTGAACGAGTCTGCTAGTGTGGCTGATGTGATTAGGCCCTATGATGGTGTCTCCTGAATAGATACGTGGACACAGTTGGCCATGGGCTTTGTTGCAAGGATAGGTTCCTGGGTTAGTGGTTTTGTTGTGTAGTGTGTGGTTGCTGGTGATTATTTGCTTCAGTTTGGGGGGCTGTCTGTAAGCAAGGACTGGCCTGTCTCCCAAGATCTGTGAGAGTGATGGGTCCAGGATAGGTTGTAGATCCTTGATGATGCGCTGGAGAGGTTTTAGTTGGGGGCTGAAGGTGACGGCTAGTGGAGTTCTGTTATTTTCTTTGTTGGGCCTGTCCTGTAGTAGGTGACTTCTGGGTACTCTTCTGGCTCTGTCAATCTGTTTCTTCACTTCAGCAGGTGGGTATTGGAGTTGTAAGAATGCTTGATAGAGATCTTGTAGGTGTTTGTCTCTGTCTGAGGGGTTGGAGCAAATGCGGTTGTATTGTAGAGCTTGGCTGTAGACAACGGATCGTGTGGTGTGGTCTGGATGAAAGCTGGAGGCATGTAGGTAAGTATGGCGGTCAGTAGGTTTCCGGTATAGGGTGGTGTTTATGTGACCATTGCTTATTAGCACCATAGTGTCCAGGAAGTGGATCTCTTGTGTGGACTGGTCCAGACTGAGGTTGACGGTGGGATGGAAATTGTTGAAATCACGGTGGAATTCCTCAAGGTCTTCTTTTCCATGGGTCCAGATGATAACAGGTGACCTGCTAATGTTTACATGCATTAATAGCACTGGTTTTTTTCCCCATCACAGCAGTACCAGACTGGGAGCTTACAGTCAGCTTCTAATTTTATCATCCTTAGGTCTGAGTCACTCCTTTTCAGATACATGAATTTGGGGACAGCTGTGTTGTTTATATGGAATAGGAAAAATATATATGTACACATTTTTTTTTGTAATCAGTATTAGCAAATTCCAGTATCTGGTAAGCCTTTCATCTCATTATCTGCCAGGAAGCCATACCACACGCTGGTGTAGTAATCAATAGCTTTCTATTTGCCCTAGAGACCTGCTAGTCACCTCACCTACAAGCATACCACAACTGTCAGGTCTCCAGTCCAGTAACACAGAGACCCATTTCTATCTGATAAAATGATCAACTGCCTGGAGGGCTCTTAAGTGACTTCAAGTGGGATCACCACTAATTTGCGCAAGTCAGAACCGCATTACAAATCCATTGTATTGGTGAGTGACAGCACAGCCAGGACATGTACATTGCCTGTGGGCGGAGTAATGAGCATTCATGTGCTAAATGATGCCAAGAGGTTCTCAGCTACATTCCAGAATTAAAAAAATAGAAAATAAAAAATATAATTCCCTTAACCTGATAAATTCCTAACAAATGCTAAAATTCTGGAGGTGCCATGCTGTCTCTCATTCATACTACATTAAACAAAATTAGTTACCAAAGCCAGAGCAAGTCTGTCAAGAACAAATTGTCTGTTTTCTTTGGCACTCAACTCAAAACAGTTGAAAAGATATGAAATGAAGTTTAAAAACATGAAATTACTCCTCCTAAGCTAGGATCCTTTTGGGTAGGATTTTACCTTGGTGCAATCTTTTACAGCAAGGCTTACAAACATCTGAAATATGTGGTTCACAACCTGATCACACTATACTATATCAGGGACAAATCCAATCAGCTTGCTGCTTTTCAAGACTGTGACAAGTGAATGTGAGTTGGAGACAGAGAAAAGATGGGGAAGGTAAAGGAGAGAGGAAAGACAGCTGTAAGAGCAGATCTGAAGATAATCAAACTTAGCAGTCCTACAATGCTGAGCTGTATTCAGCACACACAGAGTCAACAAGATATATTCCCCTTGCTATGAAATAGACCACATCTCTGTTATAAGTGGTGCCAGGGATCATACAGGCATCTGTGCTAGGAAACCATGAAAATTCTTCTATTTTGATCCAAAATATGGCATCAGTGCCGAGACCACCGCACAAGAGCCATTTGGAGATGATGTACCAGTGCCAGAAGCAAACTCAATGAGATAACCGGAAGGGAAATTGACGTCATGGAAATACACCCAGTCAGTATCAGCGCAGCGTGGGGCTTAAAGCCATCTGACTGGAAGCTCTGTTCTGATACAAGTCTATGAGAGTTGAAGCTATTTGAACAGAAGAGATTGTAAAGGAAGAAGTTTCAAAAGGTTTTCAGCAGCTGCTCTAACTCTGCTAAACAGTAAATATTGTTCTGGCAAAGAGAAGCAAGAGGAAAAAGTCAAAAAACTCAAGAATTAGGCCTGAAAAATAATGAGGCGTAGTGAAATTACAACTATTATCCTGAAAAGCCAGAGAGAGGGGCCCTGCACATCAGGATTGAAACCCTTCCCCGGAATTACAGGTTCACATGGTAGCATGGTCAACTCAAAAATTTCATGCTTGCAAGGTAGATAAATTGAATAGCATGCAGTTTACTGTGCGAGTGTCTTGCAGAGACTTTGTGAAAGATTTTGGGATCCTCTATGCACTATATGAAATTTAATTCAAATACTTTTCGGGTTGAAAAATAGCAAGAACTTCCTGTTATTTTTCTTCCTACTCCTGTCCCAAATGAGAGAAAAGATGTGAAGGTAGCTAGTATGAGTCAACTTCAGTGTGAAGCTCATAATTTAAACATGTTGTATGGATACATCTTATAGTTGGCAACATAACCTTAGCATGTCAATTATGTTACTGAAAATAAATTGCAATCTATGATAAAGTAATTAAACAACAATTTCCAGGATCCTGATACTAGCAAATTTTTTTCCAAAGTCCTGTCACCCTATAACCCCAGCACTATATTGCATATGGCCTTCAGTAACAGCCCCACAAAAACAAAGCTTATAGAGGCTATACTTAGACAATTTCTAGTTGCTTAGAACAATTACATGATCTAGCCAGCACACTAAGAGGCTCTGAGCCAGAGACTCCCCAAGTTCTTATCACAGCTTTGATACTGACCTGACACATGAACGAGGGAAAGACATTTACTTATTGAGCCCAATTCTTGTCTCATACCAGCTTTACAACTGTAGCTATCCACTGATTTCAGTGGAGATACTTCTCATTTGCACCAATGTAAAGAACACCCTAACCAGTTAAAATGGGGCAACTGAGACAGAGTGATAAGGGTTACATGTTTGTACAGCACTTTGAAGGTCCGAAGTGCTATACATAAGTGCACATAGAAGCAAAACCCAAAAGCTTATCCTAAACTTCATAAATTCGGTAAGTTATCTATGGCTGCTACTAGATTTCCTTAATCCCTTTTGTAAAGTGACACACGTAACGGAGAGGCGCAGTCTGAAATTCCTATCAGCCCTTGGGAGTTTATTGCTTCATTTGTGCTTTGGGAACAAATTTACTCCTAGAAAAACCAAATATATGCATTGAAAAATGTGATAAAGCCATATAAAAGCCCTAGTGATCGACATACATTAAAAAATCCAGAGTGAGAAATGTATATTCTGGAGAAGAGCTCAATTTTTTCCTTCAGAACTACTTAAATATATACAATCCAAATGAAAAAATATGCTGAGATCATCACCTTCAGGGGAGATGTCTGATATCAGAGTATCCTTTTACATCTTAATACAATACAATAGCAGCATTTCCCTTAATTGGTTGGTTGTGCTATGGAAAGTGCATTGCACCCAATAAACTATAAGCCTGTGCCATTTTATACAGAGTTTATATTTCATTAAAACCCCCACAAGACAGCACATTAGAATTAAATCTAAAGCCACCTCTGCATGCAGTTTTTGTACAGATAGCTATTTTGGTATGGGGTGTGGAATTTTTTTAAAAACAGAAATAGTTATACTGGTACATCCCCTAGCCTAGATGCAGTTATACTGGCATAAAGGTGCCTTACACTGGTGTAGCTATTCCCATATATAAGGGGAATAAGCTATACTGGTATAAGTACCTTCATACCAGTGTAACTGCAACCACATTAGGGAGTTGTACCTCTGTTCTGGTATAGTTAAAGAAATACAATGTGGGTGTAGACAAGGTCTAAGAGAACCTAAGGTACTTCTAAAAGTTCCACAGTATGAACCTTTACATTCTATTACTAAAACAAGGAGGTAGTTTTCACCCTTACCTCTTTTGTCTCCTCAGGGTCAGAATGATCCACAGTCACATACAAGTCATTCTGTAAGTATTTCAGTGCACTGAGTGGGTCAGTTTGGGCCTTTTCTTCAAACCTGTAAAGTGGAAGGAGATAAGCAACTTATATGTGATAAGACACACTCAAAACAAGCACTGTTTTCATTTACTTTGAGCTCAGTTACTAAACATACTCCCTACTCTTTTGTAGGACCAAAAGTCACACATGCAAATTGTTCAGTGATAGCTGCTTAAAGCACATGAATTCTATGACAGTTCAGCCCCCTCCTGCTAAAAGTCTGGGCTCAGAAGCAGCATTCTAAGGTGCTCGGGAAATCAAAGCTAGTGACTTTGATCCCTTTGCTAAAACAACCAAGCATTTCAAAGCTGTGTAAGTTGTTGTTCGTAAGGTACTCTGTACTAAAACAGACAAATAAGTGTGGTGTATCCATTTCACAGATAGATAAACTGAGGCATGAGGAAGTGAAGTCACTTGCCCAAACAGCAGAATCAGAGATAGAACTCAACATTCCTAACATCCACTACCTACAATCAAGACAAAAAATGTCCAAACCCTGATTTAACCACCTTTAAAAACCAACAGCACATTTTAATCCAAAATATTCCCTTAGGAATGAATACAAGGGCTGCAAATGTCTTAAAAGTATGGTATTCAGGCACTCACCGACCAAAGGGAATAAACCTAGGACTTCAAATTGGTCTGACCCAAAGACAACAAATGGACAGAATCTTGCTTTGGAGATCGATTCTCTGTTACACAGACTTTTCATTCGGTTGCTTGAAGAATTAGTTTGCCCCCCCCCCATGTCATTAACTGAAAGGCCCTTCCAGTTCTATGGTTTGTAATATCAATCAAAGCAGCTACTCTCAGACAGCTTATTTACAAGTCACAAAAGAAGCTGCTGTGACTCTTCTGTACCAAAAGCACTTAATTGTTATCTACCTTGTTCACTGTGGATCTTGGAAGGACAAAACTTGGGATAATCTGCTTCAGAAAGCACAGGTCTTTTTAGAAGCTGAAGGGAGACTTCACTGCAATAGGCCACTCACACACTTGAGCAGGTCTGACATTCCACCCAGCAGAGGGCAGTGATGACACTCAGTCAACATAGTACTCAGTTTAAAAAGATGCCAAATGGAGAATCACAGCAATTTTTTTTTTCAAACAGATGCAGTTTTATATCTACATTTTTCAATGGGCTGAATCTCAGTGCCAACCCAACTGTGCTATGCTAAGGAGTTTCTTCAGTTTTGGTTTAGAATATCTCCTTTGATCAGGGTGGATAAAACTGGTTTAAAATAAAAAACAAAACAGTTTCTTTACATTGTATTTTATTTATATTAAATGCAATTTTCTTTTTTAAAATAAATGTATTGGAAATTGGGACAACATATGTTAAGGCCTAAACTTACTACGACTTATTAAAATAAATTAAATAAAAATATTTCGAGTATCACATTTACTGCCAAAATTTTAAAGAAAGTCAAACTACTGAACGGATGGAAGTCACTGGATAAGCACCTGGAACCAGAGTCTGCTGACGTGCACTAGCCTCTTCTGCAATTGCAGAGAGAATATTTTCTTTATTTCAGCTTATTCAATTCAATGACTAGTTCATTCTAAGTTGAGAAACCGATTGAAAGTTGAAGCTTGTTCTCTTCCACTCTACAAACAAAAATGAGGTAAGGGGATGAGATCTACTAGTTCTAAAATCTTGACGGTCATGGTGGCCAGAAACAACCAGTTCAATTCACTACCTACAGATATACTTCCTCTACTTAATCAATTAGTTTTAAAAGCAAAACATGTTTTGGCTCTTTTTTATGTAGCCAGCACATTTAAGGTAGCATTATTTAACTAACGGAACAATTTGAAAATACTGTTTTTGTCATGAATAAAAAAGATCAACCAATAATTAAGAAATGCGTCATTCACCATTTTCTAAAAAGTAAAAATTAAGAAACGGAATACATTTATGTTAAGCAATAACTGCTTAAATAAAATGTGCATATAATATATTCTTTTGGTTAGCAAAAAGTATCAAGTTTAATGTAAAAGCTACATTTAGTTGCAAATCAATATGTATTAATGGTTGCCAACCAATGAGAATCAACCTTTTTTTTTTTACAAAAATAAAGATACAAATGCAAAACATGATTATAAAACATTATTTAAATCAAAGTTACTGCTTGCTGATTTAAATCAGTAATATAAATGATTTTGGTTTAAATCAAGTCACTCTGTCTTTGATTATCTCCTTCCTTTAAAAATATACCTTGTAGGAAGCTGCATGGATGGTCCAAAGGCAGAAGTCACCATGAATTAGCAGACAAAGGGTAGGAGAGATTGTTTGATGTGATCTTGACAGTATACCAGACTCACCAGTAATAAGTGCTGGTTAAGCTTCAGCTCCATTTCATATGACTAGAGGCCTCAGTTATTGTACAGTACTAAACAGGACATTCAAGCCCAAATTTTCGAAGTAATTTTCAAACGTGAGCATGCCTGACTATGCAAATCTACCTGTTCATGCACTGTTTTCCTAATGGGCATTTGAAAAAAAGAGCTCTTACTGAAAAGCTAAACTGAAACTTTAGTTAACAGTTGCATGATACGAGCACACACTTCTACTGCACAGTACGACATCACAGAATGCTGCCATTTCCCCAAGGGATGGTTCCAATCTCCATTTATAGTAACTACACAAAATGTAGAGCTAGATTCAGGCTATCAACTAATAAATGCAGCCATCCTCAAAAGGATCATTCTGCTAATCAAAATACTAACTGAACTGCAGCTGTCATTTTACCATGAACCTAGTCCTCATCTCCCTATCATGAGAATAACCCACACCAAAAAGTAGGACTAATAAAAAAAAGTCCCGCCCCCCCCAAAGCCTGATCAACCTAACAGAGCTGGACTCTAGAGAGGAAGCAATAAAGAGAGTTGCTAGGGGAATGCCTCTTGTCCCATTGCCCCCTCGCCTATTTGCTGTAAAGCAGCAGTGACCCTGAAATAGCACAGACCATTTGTAAGCCTGTCCTTAACAAATCACTTGTCAGTAGCCTTAAGCATGAGTCTAAGCAAAGATGCCTTTTAGCAAAAGTGAAATAACCCTCAAGCTGTACTATTAGGGCTGGTAGGGAGAAAGAAGTGCACTTACTCCATATGATGCATTAGCACCCTCTTTAAAACAAGAGTTCCAGGGCCCACTCTAGGACACACAGGGCCTAAAACACTTCAGTTAAGAGGCATGTCAATCATCTCTAGACCACCACCAGCAGGAACAGATTTCTTAAGATCTTGTCATCATGTGTATGTCCCCAACAAGAGGGAGAAAAAATGCAGAATCTCCAATTTTATGGTCTTTCGGCAAGTTGTTTCATTTAAGGAAGTTTCTAGCTTTCTCCCTCACTACCATCCTTCACAAGGTATGTTTCACAATCGACAGACCCCCCCAGCATGGTTAGCAGAGCCGTGCAGAAAATATGTTTCTAGCTAAACAGCAGCAGTGGTGTGAACTAACTCCCACCATGACTATTATGAAGTGTTAAATCTTTGTCTGTCCAAGGCTTTAGCACAGCTTGATGACACAGCAATGCTCCTATCTGCACTACAAAATATAATTGTGTTGGAGATTACATTATGGTTATCAGCTTTAATGAAAACTAGGGCTGTCAAGCAATTTAAAAAATTGTGATTAACCACACTGTTAAACAATAGAATACCATTGATTTAAATATTTTTGGATGTTTTCTACAATTTTCAAATATATCAATTTCAGTTACAACACAATACAAAGTGTACAGTGCTCACTTTATATTATTTTTCATTACAAGTATTTGCACTGTAAAAAAACAAAAGAAATAGTATTTTTAATTCACCTAATACAAATACTGCAGTGCAATCTCTTCATCATGAAAGCTGAACTTACAAATGTAGAATTATGTACAAAAAAACCTGCATTCAAAAATTAAAAAAAAAACAAAATTTTAGAGCCTGCAAGTCCACTCAGTCCTATTTCTTGTTCAGACAATCGCTCAGACGAACAAGTTTGTTTACATTTGCAGGAGATAATGCTGCCCGCTTCTTGCTTACAATGTCATATGAAAGTGAGAACAGGCATTTTCATGGCATTGTTGTAGCCGGTGTCATAAGATATTTATATGCCAGTTATGCTAAAGATTCATATGTCCCTTTATGCTTCAACCACCATTCCAGAGGACACGTGTCCATGCTGATGGCAGGTTCTGCTCGATAACAATCCAAAGCAATGTGGACCAACACGTGTTCATTTTCATTATCTGAGTAAGATGCCACCAGCAGAAGGCTGATTTTCTTTTTTGGTGGTTCAGGTTCTGTAATTTCCTCAGAGTGTTGCTCTTTTAAGACTTCTGAAAGCATGCTCTACACCTCGTCCCTCTCAGATTTTGGAAAGCACTTCCGATTCTTAAACCTTGGGTCCAGTGCTATAGCTATCTTAAGAAATCTCACATTGGTATCTTCTTTGCGTTTCATCAAATCTGTAGTGAAAGTGTTCTTAAAATGAACAACATGTGCTGGATCATCATCCAATACTGCTATAACATGAAACATATGGCAGAATGTGGGTAAAACAGAACAGGAGACATACAATTCTCCCCCAAGGAGTTCAGTCACAAATTTAATTAACACATTTTTTTAACAAGCATCATCAGCATGGAGCATGTCCTCTGGAATGGTGACCGAAGCATGAAGGGGCATACGAATTTTTATCATATCTGGCAAGTAAATACATAGCAATACTGGCTACAAAAGTGACATGGAAATGCCTGTTCCCACTTTCTGGTGACACTGTAAATAAGAAGATAGCATTATCTCCTGTAAATGTAAACAAACTTGTTTGTCTTAGCGATTGGCTGAACAAGAAGTGGACTTGCAGGCTCTGAAGTGTTATATTCTTTTGTTTTTGAGTGCAGTTATGTAACAAAAAAAAATCTACATTTATAAGTTGCACTTTCATGACAAAGAGATTGAGCTACAGTACTTGTATGAGGTGAATTGAAAAATACTATTTCTTTTATCATTTTTACAGTGCAAATATTTGTAATAAAATATATATACTTTGACTTCAATTACAACACAATACAATATATATGAAAATGTAGAAAAACATCCACAATATTTAATGTATTTCAATTGGTATTCTATTGTTTACCAGTACAATTAAAGCTGATTAATCACAATTTATTTTTTTAATCGCTATTAATTTTTTTGAGTTAATAGTGTGAGTTAACTGTGATTAACCGACATCCCTAACGAAAACCAAATAAACTCCTGTAGTTCAGCTAGCGAATTACATAATAAACACAAAAGTGGAATGGTGAGAAGATTTCTTTTCCGCATGCAGAGTCTATCAGTTTGCAGTCCTCAAGCATGAAGACTGATATGTTTTGTAACTTTCTGATCCGGTTAACACAGCTGAAAGTGCCAGGGGGAAAATGGATCCCTTTACCATGGGGCCACCCTTTCCCAATCACATAACTCTGCAAGGGAGACTTCCCAAACAATATGGGGGCACTAGGACAAGGTGGTATCTTTGCCCTCCCTCCAACGTGGGCTTGGAAGAAAGCTGCGAAGAGAGGCAGGCCAGAGACTCCAGCCAATGGGGGCAGACGCAGCTAAAGCAGAGATTGCTGCACTCAGGGACAGGGGGAAAACAGGGCCCAGCCCGGGCCACCCCTCCCTCCCAGCAAACTCCTGGAATGGTACAGTGGAGCAGAAAAGACCCCCTCTCCACCACGCACTCTGGGGGCACTAGGACCTGATGGTGTCTCCCCTCCCCCAGGCACCATGCTGGCAGTGGCTTGGAAGAAAGCTGCAAAGAGTAGCCAGCCAGAGACTCCAGCCAGAATTGGCAAAGCAGCCAAAGCAGGGATCTTTGGAGAACTTCCCCTAGTTTTGACTGGTCTTTCTCTGCTCTGTATGGAAAGGGTTGGAGTAAACAGCTAGTCTCTTCATCCCAGCTTCACGCTTTTCTTCTCCCATTCTGTCCCCTCCCCCCTCTTCCCTTCAGTGTCTCCTCTGTCCCTTCCCTTTAGCTTATCCCCTTCTAAGTAAACCCACCAACCACCCTCCCACCAAAAAATATGGAAGTAACATGACATTAATTTATCACTTTGCTCAGTCTGCTTGTGTGTTTTGTCCCTTCCGTCACGCTGTGTATATTTAGACTGTAAACTCTTTGGGGCAGGGACTCTGTTCTGTGTTAGTACAGTGCCTAACACAATGAGTCCCTGGTCCATGACTAGTGCTCTTAGGTACTACAGTAAGATTAATATTGTTATTTCAATGTTTCTAAATTCTGCTACATTTACTTGGCAACAAGTTACAGAGGTAGCCTTAGGCTTGCCTTTAATCAGTCTTAAATGGGTTGGTTACATTTTAACATTTCAGTTTCACCCCATTGCCATTTTATAGGTCTGAATAAACAGGAGCAGCCAAATGGTTACCACTAAGCAAGTCACTGTTCTGTACACCTAGCAGATTCATAGAGCTTAAGGCCAGAGGAAACTATTATGATCTAGTCCAACTTTCTGCATATGACAGGCCACAGAGCCTCACCAATTAACTTCTACATTAAGCCCATAACTTTGAGCTATACCAGATCTTTTAGAAAGATATTCACTCTTATTTTTTTAAAACAGACTTCAAATGGGGAACCAACCAATATCCCCCTAGATAAGTTATTCCAGTGGTTAAGTGCCTTCAATATTAAATAATTGCACCTTATTCCTAGTCTGAATTTGTCTAGCTTCAGTTTCCAACTCCTGGATCTCATTCTCCCTTTTTCTGCTATATTAAAGAGCCATCTACTATCAGAAATCTCTTCCCCATGTAAGTACTTATAGACCTTCATCTACTTTCTTCTTAACCTTTTCTTTGATAAACCAACTAGGTCCATATGAATCCGAGAAACATTTACAAGTGAACCAATAAGAGGGTAAATTTTCAGATGTGCAAGGGAATTTGGACACATGGCCTTGTTAACTTGTTAACATTCCTGCTTTAGGAATGTGTCATTGAATTCTTTAAGAGGCAATGAGAATATCAGGGTTTATTTTGAAAAGCAGCAAAATAGGGGAACCTATAACAATTTTCAAAGATTCTCCCTATTTCCCCACAAAACTTCTATCCAGATACTCCATGAATGTTCAGTATACCGTTCTGTATATCTTGAAATATACACAAGTGAAAAATAATTGGGAAACTTATGACCCATTACATAAACAGGGCAATTACATGTCTACAAAATAATGAAAGATAATATTCAAATTCTCTAAAAAGCTTTTGGAAAGGCTACAACTTGTAATTAATGGTCTCAAAAGAAGCCATCTCGGCTATTATACCTGTGCTTTCTTATGAGGTATTTGCAGTGTCTCAACAGGTATTCCTTCGAAGGCCGACAGAGCTTCAGTGACCAGAAGTCATCCAGCCTCATCTTTGGAGAGCAGGATTTGCCAGGATTTCCTCCAAACAAATAATGAACCTATGTAGGCCAGAGACATTTTTTAAGTTGATATGGGCACATGTATAAAACATTTGCTGTACATTTGGCAAGTCACGTCTCTGAAGATGTTATTCTAGTACATACACAGGTGGGGGGGTTTTGTAAACCTACTCCAAGTTATTACTAGGCTTGTTTCATTCTACTGAATCTGCTGATTAAGAAATTGAGAAATAGTAATTCTCCTCACGCTTACTGTCTAGCATGGTGAAAAATAAGTCTGCTGCCAAAGACTAGTATGTGTCTTCCTTTAAGATGATATCTTGAAATGATCTCTAATATCCATAAACTACATAACTTCTTTCAAATGTTCTTTAGGTTACTGTATCTATTGAAGAGAGAAGCCCATATTAATGCAACAGCCCTTCAAAGTGAATAGGATAGTGGCTATGTGGAAGTAACAGCAGAAACGCAAGCTTTTACTGTATATCGTCTCCCAACACATTTTGCTCATTAGGCTTTTCTGGCACTGCTGCTCAGAAAGACTTATGGCATAATGACCTCCCAACAGTGACAGAGTGCTAATATACTCTCCATTCTTGATCTCCAAGACCCTGACTCTGAAGTAGACTTAAACAGTTACCTGCCAGAGGCAGACCACCAGTATGTGGTAGGGCCACATTAAAGCATAACTACTGTAGGGCCTAGGGCCCAGGTTCCTGGAGTCAGATGACAGAAGAATCTCTCTTTTGGTTGCAAAGAAAGTCTTGAAAACATAACTTTGCAGACAGCCTGCAATAATGGTGCTCTGAAGAACTAACTATCCTAGTCTCCTAATGAGTTACCAACTTGGAAACCCACTACTCCGGAAGTGCCATCAACACAGCAGAGGGCATTGGGTGGATCCTCACTGCTACCACTGAATCACGATTCTGATGGAGAGATGTGTGCAGCTCTCTGGGTTTGTGAGAGCCAAGTCCTCTCTCTTCTGAGTTAGGCCCCAACTCATCTGAAGACAAGGACCAGTGGTCTAGGGCAGTGGTTCTCAACAAGGGGTCCAGGGCCCTCTGGGGGCTGTGAGCGGGTTTCAGGAGGTCCACCAAGCAGGACCAGTGTTAGACTTACTGAGGCCTAGGGCAGAAAGCCAAAGTCCCACTGCATGGGGCTGAAGCCTGGGGCCCTGAGCCCCGCTACCTGGGGCCGAAGCAGAAGCCTGAGCAACTTAGCTTTGTAGTGTCCCCTGCGGCATGGGGCCCTGGGCAATTGCCCTGCTTGCTAACCCCTAACACCAGCCCCGGCTTTTATATGCAGAAAACCAGTTACTGTGGCACAAGTGGGCCATGGAGTCTTTATAGCATGTTTGGGGGGCCTCAGAAAGAAAGAGGTTGAGAATCCCTGTTCTAGGGAGGCCTAAGAATGCTCAAAGGATAGCGACTGTGTGCTGAGCCCAGTCCAGCAGAATGCTTTTAAGAGTAGAGGTATCAGGAGCTACCCACACAAACAGGGATGGGTCTACAGGGACTGCTAAGGCCCCCGATTGTTTTAATATGAATATGGTATATGGATAAATACTCAAGTAGCCTCTTGAAGTACAGATTTGTATTCTCATAACCAGGCTATTGTATTTGCATCTTGTTATACAATAGCCTGGTTATGAGATGTTCTACATGGCGAACTCCAAGAGGCTTGTTCACTTCAGCTCTTACCTTAACTGGAGGCAAAGCAAAGAGCTAATGGGATAAAGTATCAAATTAGAAAGGATGCATCCTGAAATGAACCAGCCCCACCCATGATTTCATAAGCAATTGTTATTATTGCATTGGAACAGATAAAGCATCGATGATTATTATAATCCACTGTAAAAGAGAAGAATTAATTGCACACAGTCAGTTCTAAAGAGTTGGTATAAAAATGGAAGGAAAAGCCAAGACACCGAAAATTAATACATTTGAGAAAGGCCCTGTTCCCATCTCCCACTGTTTTTGATCATCTATGGGTATACAAAAAGATTTATATGTATAAACAACAAGTATGGTGTACAGTTCACATTCTTCTGCTTTGCATCCTGCAGTACCACAAACTCAGCGTTACAACTTTTAGTCTCTGACATCAGAAGGCAGTACAGGTGAGTCTTCCTACATACCCAAATTATTAGAAGCTGTGGCACTAATAACCCGTTAAATGATACAGCACTGGTAAATGCATTACAACATCTCTGCTATAAGCCTCTATTTTTGCCAGCGCTAAGGGCAAGTTTTGAAAAATAAAGTCATGTTGAAAGCACTTCAGGATAACTAAGATGTTTCCCTCTAATTATGAGGATGAGTCCATGACCTCTTTACAACAAGGAGATGTAAAGCACAAGGAAAGTGGAAAGCAAGAAATACCGATTTTTTCCCTTCTTTTACTAGATTTAAAAAAAAAAACCCCACTTATCACCTGACAACTCTCATCTGCTGAATACTAAATAATCCATAGAGGATTTTGCAACTGCAGAGACTCAAATTTCTCCTCCTCCTCCATATATTCATTTCCTCACCCAACCCCCAAATTCACTGTTTTAGAGTCCATAGAAGGGAGACTCCTCATTTATATCAGGGGAGTCCAGAAAGGTCATTTGAACAGAGGCTTCTAAATATATGTATGGCTTCTCATACAGAGTGAATTCAAGATAGGAGCCATGATTCAGCAACACTGGCACTTAGAATTCTGCTCTCAGTCTTGTGTGGTCTATGACATTTAGGATATGTCTACATTGCAATCTAGAGGTGTGATTGCAGCATGGTTAGACACATGCTAGCTTTAACCATGCTAGCATGGCTAAAAACAGCTGTGTGTATGTAGTGGCACATGCTTTAATGCAGACTAGCAATGCAAGTATATACCCAGGGGTCCCCAGCACACTTGAAAGCCTGCGCTGAAGCCTGCAATGCTGCACCCACACTGATGTTCTTATCCATGCTGCAGCTGAGTTCTGGATTGCAGTACAGACCTATTCTTAAGTGACAGCAGTTAATTTTGCTTCACCAGTTGTCTGTTCTGCACAGTATTTTGAATGGCAAGTTTCCCCTGCACAAGCAACGTTTATTCTTCCTAAATTAATACAAGATTTTCAAGTTTGGAGAATTTGAATTACGTGCCTCAAAACTGCGTTGTTTCTCACAACGCCATTTGCTGGGAGCCCACAAATGGGTATGTGAAACAGAAAAGATTGCAACCACCCTCATCGGTACTATGCAATTGAATATGACCGCATAAGACAGCCAGCATGTGCTGCTCCATATGGATTGAGCAGATTGAGACGGAGTGCCGCATGCATGGACTTAGCCTCCATGGGCTTCACCTATGTTTTAAACATGAGAATGATTGTGAGCTAATCTCACTACAGAACTTTATAGGCAGCATTTGTCCCATAGGCTGCTTTTTTGGCTGCCTCTAACTTAGCACTATCATGCCTATTATTATTATAAAGGGAGAAGCAGCTCAGTAACTTGAATGTTGAATTGATACACCATCACCTGCAAATCTTCCCACCACTCATAGGGCCAAACTCTAATAGTAGACGACGCTAAGTGCGTTACACCATGTCATATCATCATCAGCTTTCGCTTTATCACAGGCAAGCACACAACCAGCTTATTTTTTAGAGCTGCAGTTATGCCAGCTAAATACAACTGAAATCTAGCACTGAAAATAGATATCCATACCTTGTGCAACTCATCATACACCAGCTGATGGGCAAACCTCGGGCAGGGCTCCTCCTCCTGAAGGCTTTTACTTGGATTGTCTTTTGCTGCTTGATCATTCTTATAGACACAAGACCTGAAACACAAATATTCAAACATTCTCCCACTAGCAAATCAGAATTAGCTACAGGCAGAACAAGCAGTTAAGTTATTGAAAGAGAAGGCTGCATGAATGTGGGTGGTTGATTAAAACTCATAGTGTGTGCAAGGCAGGTATCTGGCTCCTTAACGGAGGGCTGTGGGAGAGTATCAGAGAAAAGGCAGGAGACAATGGCCATTCCCAGGGTACAGGTGGTCTTATTAGTTTCAGTTTGCCCCACCTCATCCCAAATTAATGTACCATACAGGAAATGCTTAACCTCGTCCTTGTGAGCCAGAGATTTATAACAACTGGATGGCAACTTTACTTCAAATCTGGTGTTGTATGAAACACTGTCACTTCCAAAGGGTAATATGTAATACAGCATCAGAATGTAATATTTGCTTTCCACAACCTACTTTCTGTATAACTTTTCACAAGTGATGTACCCGAGTATTCGGATTCTAATATCTAAACTGCATTGTTAAATTTCTTCACCTAAATTTGGTTATTGCTGATTGTGTACTATATGTATTTTAGGACTTTTAAAACAAAACTTTCTATTTGCGGATAATCTAAGCACTATAACCAGATGTACAGACATTTCTTAACCTGTGCGTTATATACTTTAACATTAGCTTTAATAAAAAATGTTAATTGGTACTGCAGCTACATTTTGCCTTATGCATGGTAGCTGTTACAGTACTCAGTAGGAAAATGGTTAATTTGAAACTGCTATAACATTTTAATTACATAGGGCAAAATTTTCAAAGTCCTTAGGTGACACGACTCATTCCCATTAATTTCTGTGGGACAAGGGCTTCACCCATTGACTTTCTGGGGTGGGGTAGTGTCACCGAACTGGTATACATCACACTACACAGAAGCAAGAGGAGAGATTTGGATCAAAGATGCTATCTGGGAAGTGACCCTGGACCGTAAGTTTTTAAAGGTCTCATTGGAGGCGGCCCACACAGTAAAGCTGCAGGGAAACCAAGTTGTCCAACTCAGTCGGATGGAAGCCTGAGTCAACCCCGCCTGCATCTGAACAAGCTGCAGGGGGAAGAGGTTTTTTAAATATACTACTTTCCTACCATCCCACAAGTACACAATGGAATAGCCTCCTGAATTTGTAAAAATTAGGAACAACTGCACCTTACTTTCAGAGAAGCCTTTAATTTACTTACCAACTGTTCCTCACAATGTCATAAATCCAGAAAGAGTTTCTAACATTCTCTTCCCGTTTCTCTTTGTCTTTACTGAGCCCAGACAACACATGGATTTCGTTCAGTTCCGGATCAATGGTGGCTCTCTGAGTGAAACCTGTCATAGGAACTGTTCAGTAAGAGAAAGTAAATGTTACATCCTAAACAGAACAATGGAGGAGGATACCGGAGAAGGGAGAATTGAAGGAATCTGATATATCATATGAAAATGAAATGTAACCTGCAAGCCCAGAGTCTGCTTGTGAAGCATGGGGACCTCTATTTAGCTAGTTTGAGAGTAACAGCTGTGTTAGTCTGTATTCGCAAAAAGAAAAGAAGGACTTGTGGCACCTTAGGGACTAACCAATTTATTTGAGCATAAGCTTTCGTGAGCTACAGCATCCGATGAAGTGAGCTGTAGCTCACGAAAGCTTATGCTCAAATAAATTGGTTAGTCTCTAAGGTGCCACAAGTACTCCTTTTCTTTTAGCTAGTTTGGTATTCCTTATTTGGCAGGGATTGTTTTTCTCTCGTGTCCTGTACACTGCTGAGACACACTTGGCATTAAATAAATACACAATTTACAGGCTTGCTACAAATACTGTGTCCAAAAGCTGCACTGATAGAGAAGTAGAGGCACACAGGAAAGTATATGCATCGTTGCCACCTGATGTGTAGTGTACAAGCATGCACACGTGAAGTTTTCCTTTTAACAGTTAAGATTTTTAGCTTTGGTTTAGCAAGATCTAGTGTAACCAATCCAAGGAAGAGATGTTACAATTTTGAATCAGAATAGGTTTGAAGCACCAACACAGAGACCAGAAAATGTCCACACCTAGCACATACAACTAAGTTCACAGAATAACTTCCCTCTCTTCTTTTGCAACACCTACTTTGCTAATAGCATCTTTTAGCATGTGTGTGTCCTGGGATGTACTTGGGATATTCAGCAGCATGCCAGTAATTAAACAGATATTGAACACCAGTTGTCTAGTGTTTTAAATAATGCCCATGCACACTCTGATCCATTCGGATAACATATGCGATCCTTAAGCCTTCCTTTTGGCCCTTCTGAATGGGTGAACTAATGCAGCTTGAAAATCCTTTGAAGCTTCTTGGTCTCTTAATTCCAAGGTAATAAGGTGCCTCATCTCTGCTAGAGGGAGAAAATTACAAAGAACCAAGGGCAACTGCTTCATTTTGATAAAATTCAATAGGGCACAATTTTTATTTTTTTTAAACCAAGACAAGTTTAAGTGTTTTGTTTTACACAGAGTTGCACCAACTGAAGCTCAAGGTGTGGTTTTAAACAGTTAATCAGTGCAAAAAGACATTTTGGTTTAAACCAGGCTTATTTTGATTTAGTTTAAATCTATTAGCAACAGGTTTAAGCTAAACTGAAATGCGTGTGCTGGGACAGAGGTTTCTACCAGTTTGTCTGTGAACTATGGCTGCTATATCTCAGCAAGTGAGGTACAAGATACTTTAACTGGATACTTTCTTGCTTGAAACAGTTTGCGTGAATAAGTGTTCTCTTTTAGCAATTTTCTTTCTGGGAATTTTCTTGCTATTTTAAGATATATAGAGAGGTTACACAGAAGATATGCACAGACTCCTTTTCCCCCTCAATACTATATATACACACACCCGCAGATAATTTTAGAGACAACCAAAATACGTATAAAAGTCAAATCAACATTCGCAGTTTGTACCTGCATAATAAAGAGATTAATCTTAATTGAGAAGGTGAAGGCCATACATAGTAGAAAAACGGCCTTGAAGATTAAATGTGTAGCAAGGACCTCAAAACTATGTACCAAAGAACTAAAAAGATATAGCAGTCCCTTTACATTATTCACAGATTTCAAAGCCAGAGAGGACCACTGTGATTATCTAGTCTAACATCTTTTCTAAAACAAGCCACGGAACTCCCCCATAATAATTCCTAGAGCATAGATTTTAGAAAAACATTATGTGCTACTACATCATAATTGTGCAAATAACTGCATCTCTTTTCATTGATTTTCTTCCATTTAATATTAAATGTTTGCCTTTTAAAAACATTTAAATTGTTTTAAAATGGCACAAAGTACAAAGACAGCTGAAAAATCATACTAAGCATTCACCTCTAGAAAATGTGTTTTATGACTGGCTCACCGTAATAAAGGTCGTCTGCTGAGGAACCAGGGAGAAACCCATTTTTACTGAGTCCAGGGCCTTAACTACAAGAGCATCCTATATAGCAAATAGCCTTTGTTTAATAAAGATCATCACCTGTGTTTATGTCAATGCTTCCTAGAGGCAGGTATGTAGAAGTAGCCACATTTTACAGAGAGTATGGCCAAGCACGTAGCTACTGCCTCAGATAGGTCAGTAGAAGAGACTTGGATCTCCTAGAAGAGATACTTTAGTTCTACTTCCAAAGATTATGCAAGATCAGTACTGCCAGAGCAGGGTTACCCCATCTGTCAAATGGGGCCTTATGATACATGAAGCCTTAATTAACGATAAGGGCTGTGATGCAAACAGATTAATAGTAGTCAGAAGAGGCGACACTTGAAGTCACGGTTTCTTGACTCAGACTAATGCACTTTCCTGTAAACTATAGCAGGGGTAGCCAATAGGTAGACTGCAGGCCATATCCAGAAGCCAGATGCTTTTGAATGGAGCCAGAAATCTTTTTATTTACTTATTTTACACTTTTCTCTAGAGTATGGACCTTGCCTATACCTTGACCAAGAAATTTGGACTATGACAAAAAATAATTGACTACCCCCTGGACTACAGGGTACTGTGAGGACATTGTATTTTTTTCACTAAGAAAAATTGTCATGTAAACATCAAGTTATTCCTCTCTTTTCTAACTTCAGATATAGAAACATTGAAATACTGAAGATTCCTGGAGGTTTCATTAGTTCTCCGAAACAGCGTCATCAAATTAGCAGTTTGGCAGTCCTAACTGTTTGTTGTGTAATTCTTATTTCCTGTTTTCCCAGGCAACCATCCTTTCAAATGCACTCATGACCAACACGTGATCTTTGTTTATTGATTCTGTTTGTCTCATTTTTCTTTCTGGGTCAGTTTACAAAGGCTGGTGAAGGTTCCTGGCTCTCAGTCAAGTTGCTTGGCAGGAGAACTCTCAAGGCGCTTACATGTTGCAAATTCTCCCTCCAACTAACTATGAAACTGCATACACGTATATACAATCTTGCTCTTCCTTGGAAGGGAAGCCCTGCACTAACTTCCTTTTTACATTACTATTAAACAATATACAGAATTGCATTTTACAAGCCTGTTTGCAACAGATTTTGGTATTATGCTTCACTGTTTTCATATGCTGGGTCAGGAAAGTAATCTACATTGATTTAAAAAAATCTGGATGGTACTCATTTCTCTACAAAAAGACAAATAAGCCATTCAGTAAGTCTCATTCAAACCTGTAGTCAGATAAAAACACAGATATACGCAATACATCTAGTTCACACTTGAACATGTACAACCCACCAGTGAAACTGCACATTTGAGCACCACTCATGGTTCTTTCCAGGCTCCAGTTATGCTCCTCACTGGAAAGCACAAGTCCTTGGAGATCTTTAACTAGCCTAGTCTTTCCCCACTCCTACCCGTAGCTTTTGTCTCAATTTCCATGTCAAGTTTATGAGTAAAAGGTTGCCTCTAGCTGGCAGCAATGCACATTTGAGCAGTTTCTGGCTTGTGCATCATCTTTAGTGATGAGTAGAATTTGGTCAGAAATGTCATCACTATCATTTTTGGCCTTGCAACTGAGGCCCAATTGGCCCAAAGGCCCAGTATCTCACTCTCCAGTACCTGTGTTGGCTCTGTAGGACTACCCAGAGTAAAGAACAGTTAAAAAAAATAGTGTATACACAAGACTCTGAGGTCAGAGCTGCATTACAGTACAATTGAGAAGATGATGATGCATGTATTATGCTACTATTCATATTGGAAGTATACGGACTTGTTTATAGAGAGGTAGAGTACGTCAGAAAAATTGATCTGTGGGGGGTTAGATATGTTAAAGAATCTTTTACTGTGACATTTGTTTTCTTTTAAGGGCTTATGTGAGTGGCTTTTCCCTTACCAGAAATCAGTTATGGTTGCTTCCAATTTTTGTCTTTGTGTGAACATAAATATATTCAGAATAAAAGAGGATGAGAAAACTGGGATCCTTGAAGAACAGAATATTTAATTATAGCCTCCCTCTTTAAATGTTGCTGTAAAACACCTGCATTGTCCCTTTGGACTAGGGGTGATTCTCTGTAGCGAATGAAGAATACTATATAAAGTCAGTTTATTGTATTTAAATGAGGAAGAAGAAAATCTGAGGAAAGGTCACCCTGTAAGAGCAAAGAAAATAAAAAGCTTATTGGCAAAGGTAAAGAACAAAAGGCACTAAGACCAGATGAGATCCACTCAAGGTGAAATTTCAGGGTTCACCTAGAATGAGAATCAAAAATAGATCAAATTCACTTAACACTTTTTACCCCCTCAAAAGTGTCAGTCAACCACCTCCTGACAAAACGTTCAAAATGGAGGGAGTTTGGAGATGGATAGGAGGTAGGCCGCTTGCCAAAGTATTAGCGTTTTAACATGGGGAAAGAGGTGGAAGAGATAACCACAGAACTAGAACCTCACACCTTGACCACACACACAAGCTGTACTGCTTCAATTCACTCAGCTTAGAAACTGAAGTGGTTAAACACAGACGTCTGTGTCGAGACAAGGCCTTTTACTGAATCCTTTACAGACGAAGAGAATGAGAAAGTAAAAATATTATTACAACAGAATGCAAAAAGGCTTTGGACTGAACAAGTTCCTGAAAACAACAAAATTGATCAGACAGCAGTGGAACTAGGGCACACTAATTGGAAGATGCTGGGTAGAGTAACATTTCAGCCTAGAAAACATTAAAACTTTTAAGGGTGTTTACCAGATGTTTGTTTGATTCCTATCAATGAGCACAAAAGCATAAAAACCACCAACCTGTACTGTCATAACCATACAGCTAAGGATAGCCTAGAACTCCTCCTTACCTGTAAGCGGTTAAGAAGCTCAAATACCTGGTTGGCACCTAACCAAAAGAACCGATGGGCAAAGAAAATACTTTCA